AAGTAATCCTCCCGCCTCAGCCTCCCAGAGTGCTAGGATTAGAAGCATGAGCCAGGGAGCCCTGCCAACACAGACAGATTTACTTGGACCCAAGGTGCTCATGAGGTTGTGGGGGGAGACAATCACCGCAGCTAAACTGAGTATAACATTTTGAAAGAGGTACATGTTTTAGAGAAAATAAGTAGAAAAGGGATATAAGGAAATTATCTTTGAAATGTGACAAATTGAATTTTATTAATATATAGTAGTCAAAAGGATGGTCGCGCAGTGGCTCCATCTGTATCTAGCCCATGGAGGCTGAGGCAGCGAATTGCTCGAGTCGGGATACCAAACGCGCTGAGCAGAGCGAGACCATCTCTACTAAATATAGAATGAATTTTGCCTACTAATAATATAGCAAAATTAGCCGGCCGTGGCCAGCGTGACTGTTCCAGAATACCGCTCTGGGAGATCGTGAGCGGCCGCCACGATTCAGTTCTTGGGAAACTCCAGTTATCTAATAGTCACGGTCCTCACAACTGTCACGCTCACGCTGTCTCAGAGAAAATAGATGAATGACGTGGAATGAATCTATATTTGAACTCTAACTTACTCGCATTCACCAGACTTCTCAGGATAAGGCGCACACAGCAGATGTGTGTATGTTGCTTTGGGCTAGGCCCAGAGATGAGACCTTTAGACCAAGAGACTCTACTGCTTACTGAATTCTGATTCAAGACAGACTGTTTTCCGTGACGGAAGTGGAGAAAGAAAACCCCGAATGGGAAACGAATGTTGAAATGCCTATAATGATGAAACGTCTAGGTATCTCAGGAATACCACAAAGAATGGCTAAAACGTCACACAATAAAGAAAAGACAACATAGGCCCATTTAAAAAATGGCACCTGCAGAGGATTTAAGCGGATATTTCTTACGAAACTACCTGCAGATGATGGACATAATAAACATGAAAGAATGCTCAAACATCTCCCATAACTCAAAAACCCAGAGATTTGCCACTCACATCCACTAGGAATCTCAGCTATGATAAAAAGCACAGAAAAACTAAGTAATTGGTATAAGATGTGGCCAGAAATCACTAGCTTGGTAGGAATATAATCGGTGCAGCTTTGAACAGATTGGCCAGTTCTTCTAGAGCTCAAGCATCGAGTTACTATGTGACCCAGTTACTATATAGTCTCGTTTTATGTATAGTATCCAGGAGTTGAAAATATAGGCGCACATGAAAACTTGTACAAGATGATTTGTGCACGCTATAAGTCTAATACGCTAAAAAGTGGGAAACAATTCAGTGTCGCATCGACTGGTGAACGGATAACAACTGTGCTATATCAGCATACATCCAGAGTTTGGTTTTATTTACATAAGAAGCAAAGATCATCGAGTGCTACGGCACGCGAATACTTGAAAACATTATCGCCTGCAGCTGAAAAAGCCAGACACCAAGAGGCGCAATATACTGGTGTGATTGTATCTATAATATGAATTGTTAATGAATAGATTACAATTCTTAGGACTAGAAAGCGACTGTGTGTGCTTTCTAAGCTGAGAGGAGGAAGGGGAGGGAATGACTTATAATGGTACTCGTTTTTTCTGGGTGCTGAAATGTCCTGCAAATTGATCTAGAGCGAAGAGTCGTGCTCGCTGTTGCTAACTTTAGCTTTATCTTGATATTACTCGCACATTCGTACTGTCTATATCAATCATTCCTGCCCTTCCCACGCGCGCGTTCTGTATACTCTTGATGGGTGTGTAAGTAATTACTGTCGGTCATTTAACGAAATATGAACCATGCGCGTCTCAATTGGTAGAGAACGAAACAGAATAAAGGTATGGCCGAGCTCGGAGTGAAGAGCTACTCTCACCGGATCGACTAAGAATTATTCAGATCCCAGTCACAGGCTCTTAAATTGTATGGGCTCTGTGAACGACCGACCAAGATTGTCCGAGGCCCTGTGATGGAGGCTTGCAGTGTGCTCGGAGCGAGCAGTGTGGCAGAGCGCGGTGCAGACTGGAGCACTGGCAACCCGGGCTCTTTCCGATCGCATCTGCTCCGACCTGCATCTCTCGCTGTAGCACCACTCCCTCTCCTGCTTCATGGCTATACGCCTCGCTATGTCCCGAAGCAGCGGTATCTACTTTTTCGTCAGATTCTCTTTCCACTGCGTGTGGCTGTTGCTTGTTATGGGTTTTCGAAGAGCGTGAGTCGTGCGTGCGTCAGCTCATTAGAGCTCATGCCTATAGAGTAAGGAGCGCTAGGAAAATTATCTGGGATTGGATGGCTAGCCTTCTATTTCTTTTCATCGAGCTTCGAAGTGGTCGCTGAGGCTCAAGCAGGCTGAAGTCGTGTCTGTCTGTCTTCTATTTTTTCTCTCTTTTTAGCTGTCATGATCTTGGACGCGCTAGTCGCTACTGTGCTGCTCCGCCGGCTACCTCGGTGCGTTGCCGTGGGTAGTGCGTGAGCTCTGCTCTCCAGCACTCCCTCTGGTCTTCCCAGGGTCATAGAGACGAGCTCTCTCTGAGTCCTCAGTGCGCGTCTTGAGTAGCGCCTAGCTGACGATGCGACATGTAGCACCTATCTGGAGCCAGGGGATAACTGGGAGGAGTATTTCTCAGGGTCGACGCGGTGGCTCCAGGAATGGCTAATCTTTTGCTAAATAGTAGCATTGAGCTGTACCTTTGACATCATTTATAGTTTGTTACTCCGTCACTATA